GAACTTAGCCACATAGCCACACCGAGCTTCAAAAGAATATGGAAAATGTAGTCTTTATTCTGGGCATATCGTGTATGCATAAAAATCAGGAGTCCTTTTACCAAGAAAGAAGGGGGAACAGGTACTATGAGAAGACTTTAGGGATCTCTGCTACACAGGCAAGGGCAAAACATCTATTTAAAAATCAGTTGGAACATGTCATTCCCTCCCTCCATGTCTGATAATATAATGTAGGAAATACTTAATAATTGTCCTTTGGAATTTGAGCAAAAGGGATCGTAAATATGACAGATTTTTGGTTGTTATGCCACAATTCTCCCTAAAAACTGGCAATAAGTTTTGCTGTCCTAAACTGTAAGGCAAGATGAAAACCTCTCAGTTAACTATAGATCAAATACCACCATATCAAACCACATTGAAACAATAGTCTCTGTTATAATAAAGAATTTTTCCAAGCTCAGTACAATAGAAAAATTGGAACAATCATTACAGTCTGATCTGCACTGATGATAAGAAGCAGTGGTAGACACACAGTGCTCCCTTCCATTAATCTGGGCCACTAACCCTTACGTGGACCCTGGACTGTCACCGGATAAATTCATCCACCCAGAAAACCTTCAGCACACTTAATATACGCAGGTAGTTCTAAGCAATCACCTATTCAGCACTCCTGCAGACTGTACTCTCAAGTACTGCTGTCTGCCTCCTCCAATGATGTAACATCAACAACCCAACTCCTTAGGAGATCACATGACACGATCACGTGACACAATATCTGGAACAGAGGAAATGTCAAACAGCTTTAGCTTTTACTGTCGCTATTTTAAAATCAGCACTACACCCAGCACTTGAAGCACACTGCTTTAAAAGAAGAATTGTTAAACAAAAATTTTTAAATGTAGTAAAAGAGATCTAGTTAGGCCTACCTATATTTTTGACGGTATTAAGAAGGTAAGAGGTGTCTGTTTACACAGATTAAGCTCACTGAAAAAACACTAGTATATTAATGAAAAGTTGTTTAGGTTAATATAAGAACCTTCATTAAAAACCTACAGTATCAAGAACATCTTTCATTTCTTCATGAGAGGGAACAGAATCATTCAATAAAATGAAAAACAACTTTTTAAAAAAATCTTCATTTTTAAAAACAACCTCAGACATTGAAATAAAAATTCATCCTATGGAAGATTACTGGAATCAGAATTGTCTGTACTCCCTCATCCCCAAACCAAAATAAGTGGATAAGTGAAAGTCATTGAAAATTTAGTACAGTAGTAACCAGTTTTTTGAAGTCAGGTCTATATATCTGTATAAAAAGAATACCTTACTGCTGTCTGAATTGAGATTCTTACTTGAAAAATAAAGGAATGGTTCAACAGAAATCACTGATTTATAGACCTGTAAGAAGTCTAATCCTTTAAGTTTTTAGAGTACAATGGTGTCATCATAGCTCACAGTAACCTCTAACTCCTGGGCTCAAGTGATCCTCCTGCCTCAGCCTCCCGAGTATCAGGGACTACAGGCGTACACCACCACATCTGGCTAATTTTTCTTATTTTTTGTAGACATTGGGCCTTATAAACTGGTCTTGAACTCCTGGCCTGAAACAATCCAACTGCCTCGGCCTCCCAGAGTGCTGAGATTACAGGCGTGAGCCACCGTGCCCGGCTTTATTTCATCTTTTGGAGGTCTTTTCTTTTATTGTTTTAAAAATACAGAAGTACAGAGAATAATGTTAACATGTATTTCCCATGCAGGATTAACAAAGTTTAAGAATTTGCATATTTGCTTCACATATTTTTTAATGAAAAGCAAGCATTTTTCCATCCGCCTGTCATTCTCCTTTCCCAGAGGCAATCACTCTTTTTTTTTTTTTTTGAGACAGAGTCTCACTTTGTTGCCCAGGCTAGAGTGAGTGCCGTGGCATCAGCCTGGCTCACAGCAACCTCAAACTCCTGGGCTCGAGTGATCCTGCTGCCTCAGCCTCCCGAGTAGCTGGGACTACAGGCATGCGCCACCATGCCCGGCTAATTTTTTTTTTGTATATATATTTTTAGTTGGTCAATTAATTTCTTTCTACTTTTGGTAGAGACAGGGTCTCGCTCAGGCTGGTTTCGAACTCCTGACCTTGAGCAATCCGCCCCTCTCGGCCTCCCAAAGTGCTAGGATTACAGGCGTGAGCCACAGCGCCCCGCGGCAATCACTCTTATATAGTGTGAATCCTTGAAAGTGTGCTTTTATACTTTAACTACATTGGCTATAGGTATCCATTGAAAATACACTGAATTGTTCTGACCTTTTATTAGTTTTACATAAACAAGTTATACACACCATCTGCAACTTCTTTTCATTCAGGGTTTAGTCACATATAAGTACATACAGATCTAGCTTGTTCATTTTAACCATTGTTTATATCATAATAAATTATATGAATATGTAATTATCCATTTTCGTATAGGTGATCATGTGAATTTTTTCCAATTTTCCAATATTACAAATAATGTGACAGTTAACATCTTTGCATATGACTGTTAGTATACATGTATATTGTGAATATTTACAATATTACATAATGTGAATATTTCCAATATTACAAATAAGTTAACATCTTTGCATATGACTGTTAGTATACATGTATATTTCTACAGGGTAATATACCTAGAATTGGATTCACTGGGTCTTAAGAGTGCAAATTTTTAACTTTACGTACTATTACTAGATTATTCTCCATGTGCTAATCTCAATTTATACTAAGTGGTTATATCAACCAGTACTCCGGTAAGTTTTTTGTTTACCCACATTCTTACATACATTTGTAATGATTGAGACATTTTAATTTTTGCTAATCTTCTAATGTAAAATGGTGCCTCATCGTTATATTATTTATTTGCCTGAAAACCAGTGTTTATTTGCCACTTAGGTTTCCTTTACTGTGAACTGCCTATTTCCATGGTTTGCTCATTTTTGTGAAGGGCTTTGTCTTACTCTTATTGCTTTGTAGTAGTTCTTTACCTATTCTTAGTACTATTTTTTTATATATTTTTTTATTTTTTTCTTTATACTTTGTACCTGTTTGTTCACTATTCTTAGTACTATTAATGGTTTTTTATATGTTGCAAATACCTTCTCCCTCTATTAGTTTATTTTTAACCCATGTATGGTGTCTTTTATTTTATCAGAAACTTTTAATTTTGATATGATGAAATTTGTCAATTTTTCTATGAATGACAGACATATTGAAGAAATCCATTTCCTACTCTAAGACATAACTACCCCTGAGCTAATATATTGCCTTAATTTCTAAAAATTATATATGTATATGTGTATGTGCATATAGGCTTTTTTGTTCGTTTTGATTTTTTTTTTTTTGAGACAGAGTCTCACTTTGTTGCCCAGGCTAGAGTGAGTGCTGTGGCGTCAGCCTAGGTCACAGCAACCTCAATCTCCTGGGCTCAAGTGATCCTTCTGCTTCAGCCTCCCGAGTAGCTGGGACTACAGGCATGAGCCACCATGTTTGGCTTTTTTTTTTTTTTTTTTTTTGGTATATATATTTTTAGTTGGTCAATTAATTTCTTTCTAATTTTGGTAGAGACGGGGGGGGGGGGGTCTCGCTCAGGCTGGTTTTGAACTCCTGACCTTGAGCGATCTGCCCACCTCGGCCTCCCAGAGTGCTAGGATTACAGGCGTGAGCCACCACACCCGGCCTGTTTGTTTTTTTTTTTTTTACTTCCTTGTTATATGAAGCTTCCTAAGAAAGGGTACATAGCAGGTAAAAACGTTTGAGAACATGTATGTCTGAAAATTATCTACATCTCTCCCCCATACTTAATGATAACTTGGATAGGAATAGAATTTCAGATTAGAAATAATTTTTCCAAAAATTTTGAAAGGACCATTCTATGGTCTACATGTTTCCAGTGTTATTGTTGAGAGAAGTCCAATACCATTCTGGTTCCATATCCCAAATTTTGTTGATATTGTCTCTTCTATTATTCTTATTTCTTATGAAGTTATGCCATTTAAATTTTTTAAATCCTTTTTCTATCATTTCAGTAGGATTTTAGGAGGGAGTTAATGTGTTCAATGACTATCTTTAACCAGAAATCATTTTAGTTATCCATAATTCCTCCTACTTTACTCTGTATGCTGAGAGTCTCCACTCAAACACTAGTGGCATTTTAGGTGGGATAAGTAAGTCTTTGGTGTGCCACATTGTGCCAGGACTTACAAAACATTTATCACAATCCTTCTGTTCTTTTTCATACTGCCCTGTTCTTGCCTTATGGCTTTCATTCTTTCATCTTCTTGAATATTATAAATTTAAAATTTTTTCCATGCCATCCTATTAGTTTTGGGGTACAAATCTCCTATTTGCAGCATCTGCCAAGTTTCCTTCCTTGTGGTTAATTTCCTTACATAATTTATAATCTTTGTGAGCTCATCTACGGAGAGATTGCTATCTAACAAGAGTCAGGTGTTCCTTGAGCTATGGAAACTTTGCTATAATGGAGAGGTTTCTGCTTGGCCCTGGATTTCAGAGGTACCAGATTGGTTAATATATCAACTTCTTAGAGTGTGGCCCCTGGCCATGTGGCAATGTAAATCACACCTTACTCGAGCTGGTACAGACCATGAAGCTCTACCTGTAGCAGCTGACTCTTTTCTTACCATAGCTCAGGTGGATAGCAAGCTTCCTTGCAGCTGCCTCAGGCCAGTGGGGATGGGGGTGGTATTTTTCTAGTTATCATCTTAGGGTCAAGGTACTTATGGAAGATTGCATCTTTCAAAGATGGTAGTTTTCACTAATGCATATCCAATCCCACATGCTCTTCCTCCAGTGCGATGTTGACATTCCTCCATCAAGAGCTGAGCTCGGGGTTCCTTTTCCTGAAACTAACTTCCTCAGCCAAAAAAGTCCAGCGGAAGTAAGTCACACTTTGAGCTTTCCAACACTAGGCCAGAAAAAGTGATATTTGGCTTGACTCTCTCAGGACACTCACCTTTGAAGCCCAGTTGCCACTTTGAGAGGAAGCCAGGTGACATGGAGAGGCCATACGTAAAGATTCCAGCTGATATCCAAAGCTAAGATCTCAGTCAACAGCCAGCATCAACCACCAGACACGGGAGTAAATAAACCCTCAGGAAGATTCCAGTCCTGAGCCTTCAAATCTTCTTGCTAAGGCTTCAGACATTGTGAGGCAGAGCCAAGCTGTCCTTGCTGTGCACTGTCCGAATTCCTGTCCCAGAGAATCCATGAGCACAATAAATGGTTGTTTTGCACCACTAAGTTTTGGAGAAATTTGTTATGAAGTCATAGTAACTGGAACAGTACTCCTTTGTGACTCCCAGCTTTTAGCAGATGGCTAAACGGTGGCTTTCTGTGTGAATATTCCTTCATTCCAGGCACCTGGGGATTTCCTTCCCTTAGTTCCTAGCTCAGCCACTTATCCATAAATTACATTTGACTCAGCATTTGAAATATATTGAAGCAGAATGGGGATTCTTTTGCCAGCTCAGTCTGCCACATTGCCCAGTAGTTTCCAGAATAACTTTTTAAATAATGACATAAAGAAATGAAGAATTTATTTTATATATAAATATCTTAAAATCAAAAAGAAAAATGATAGTGAGTGCATTTATTAAAGAAGTAAGTAAGATTAAGTAACTCATTACAGAAAAAATACAAATGGTCAATAAAAAGTTCACCCTCACTAGTACTCAAATAAAAACAAGATATTATGCTGAGCTACTCCTTTCACCAATCAAAATGGCAGAGATGTTTTCTGTAATATTAATAATAGACAGAATAAGATTTCTGTCTATTTCAAGCAATAGGCACTGTCATAAAGTTTCAGTGGGAGTATGTATTGCTGTACTATTTCCAGAGGGCAATCTAGCAATCTATGTCTTTATAATTTTATATACTTTCAACCTATCAATTCTACTTACAGGAATTTATCCTAAAGGAATAACCATTGATACATACAAATATTTATAATCAAGGATATCAAATCCTGTATCTTTAATAATGGAAAAGAGGCTAAGAATAACCCAAACATCAAACAGCAGGAGACGGTAAGATCATCTTTATTTTTAGGTTTGTTTGAACCAAAATAATTATCAAGTGAACATAAAGACCAGTTATAGATTCATTGAGAAAGATATTTATTCACAATGCCAAGCATTGTGTTAGGAACTGATATACAAAATGATTAAGATACAAAAGCATACAGTCTACTTGGGGAATAAACAAACAATTACAGGTCATTATGATACAGCCATGCTCAAATTCTGCAGGACAACAGAGCCTTTGCTGACCTTACCCAGACTGGGGAAATTGGAGGGTATTGTTATTGTTCGTTAAGCAAGTGATATTCAAGCTAAGTCCCAGAGGTTTTGATGAGTAGAAATTAACTGTGGCAGAGAATGTTGAATGTCTTCTAACATTCTTGCTCCTCCTCCAGAGAATAGAGTTGTTCCTGGAAGTGGCTGCCTCCCTGCGATTGGAATGTGAGCAAATGTAATGTGCAACAGTTTGCAAAAAGCTTTTAAGAAGAGTTGGGCTTCCTCCATACTTTCTCTGTGTCCTTCTGCTGACTAGATTTAGACAAGAGTGAAATGCTACTCAATGGTAGAGTCTGGGTCCTTCTATGTTTCTGTTTCCCAAGTGAAAAAAGCCACATGGAGAACAGGAACACCTGCCTTGGAATTTTTATGTGAGCAAGAAAATAAATTTCTATATGTTAACTCACGAAAATGTTGGGACGGACCTGTTTGGCACTACAGCTGGCAGTATGAAATACATGCAACTTTTTGTTCCCAAGTAATATATCAGTTCACTTCCTCAAATATATTCACTAAGTATGTACTACATACAAATCAATGTGCCATGTTCATGAATATACAAAGATAAACTAAATAGAGATTCAGCCTTTACAGAATTTCCAGTCCAGAAGAGAGAACAATAGCCACTCATACAACTATAAAACTGTGTCTGTAAAATGAAAGCCTTAGGAAATATATTAATATAAATAATTAGAGGAGTTAAAAAAAAAAAGGGGGAGATATTACTTTCACTTGGAAGTTCAAAAAGGACTTGGAACAAATTAGAAAATGACATTTAAACAGTATTTAGGCAGGAAGAAATGTGGGCAGAGGCATTCCAGGACAAAATATAGATGGGAAAGACTTCATGGAGAAAGAATACAAGTATTCTAGTTTTCCTGGAGAGGGGGGATCAAACAGGCATCATGAGAAATAAGCCGCATGGAGAACAGGAACACCTGCCTTGGAATTTTTATGTGAGCAAGAAAATAAACTTCTGTACATTAACTCTATATGTTAACTCATATTGAAATGATAAATTTGAATGAGATTACAGACAAATTTGAATGCTGGGGAAAGTGGTTTATATTGTCTTCTTTGAGTAATGGTGGACGACTGAAAGTTTTTGAACAGAGCATATATTTATAGCTGTGCTTTATGAAGATGAATATGGTAGAGACTGGAGCCAAGGTGAGAAATTAAGAGGCTATCAAAATAGAGTGCTTAAATTAGAGTAGCAGTGAGAATGCAGGATTGACATTGATCAAATTTGGTAGGTTTGACAAAGAAAAAGGAGTCAAAGATGACTGAGGCTGTGAACTGAGGTGACTAAGAATTAGGGAACCACAAGGTAAATTCAAGGAGAACACGCTAGTCTGGGGGTGCAAGGCAAAAAGGAGTTCAGTTTTAGATAAAATGAGTATAAGGCATCCAGGGGGAAATATAACCTGGATCTAAGCGGTAGGAATTGGGGGCTATAGGTTAGGCTTAGAGATGAAAATGGTTAAGAATTATCTATTTACAGGTGAAAAATAAGGCCAGAACTGCAATAAAGTTAGCAAAGGAGATTTGAAGGAGAGAAGCCAGAGATTTCCTTAAAACACACACAAGGCAGGAATATGAAGAAAAGGCAGAGAAGGAATGATCAGGGAGGCAGAGGGTCCAGAGGAACCAGCATCATAGGAAGCAATGGACCATGTCCAATTCTACAGGAGTTACTGGAGAAAGGAAGTGACATTACTGTAACACAAAATACACGATTTCAGTTAATCCTCAAACAACCCGATGAAAAATGGTTCCCAGTCAATGACAGAGCAGGGATTCAGTCCCTACAAAGAACACAAGCTCCAAGTAAATTGAACTTGGATTCTAATCTTGACTCTGCCCTTCAGTAGCTGCATAGCAACTGGGTAAGGAAGAAAATAATAGTGTCTCTGACTCTCATAAGGTTTGTGAGGAGTAAATTTTAAAATGCATGCTTAGCACAGTGCCTGACATGTTATAAACATTCAATAAGCAGAAGCTATTGTTGGAATTATTTTTAAATAATAATAAACATTTCTTTCTTACCACAGCCTGACAATGAAAAGGTAAATCAGTGAACACTTTTTGAAGGTAAGATTCTATCAAAATTTTTAAATGTATATACATCTGACCTAGCAACTCTGTCTGCTTCAAGGAATTTATTCTATAGAACTGTTCCCATGTGTTAGAATGTCCATTGTTGCATTGTTTGTAATATTAGGACCACACTCAATGAAGAATGGTTATATAAATTGATACATCTGAACTATGAAATACTCAGTGCAGACATAAGTAAACTAGTATGAAAAGTATTCTCCATAACTGAAATGAAAAAAAGAATTTCTCAAAAGAATCCATGATTCTATTTATGACAAAACAAAACAAAACAAACAAAAACCAAAGGAAAAAAGAATGGAAGGATGAACACCAAATTAACAAGGGCTACAAAGCAATGAACGAAGGTAGAAAGAGGGCATTCACCTCTAACTCTATATATTCCTGTACTGTTTCAATGAGAAGTACTAATGCATTATAGTGTAGTCTGAAAAATGTAAGGAAAACTTAAAAAGGAAATGTCAGAAGTATTTTGGAAGAACACCGTTATAACAGGAGATTTTAACTTGCTATTAACCACGTACATAAAAACTCAGTAAAGATGAAGAGCAGGGATTCTTGTGTTTCAGGGAGCATAAAACCCTTAAAATGCTTGCAAAATTGTTTGCATTTGTCTGGAGAGAGGCTCCACAGCTATCCTGATGCCTATGAGAAGAGGGTTAGAACAATCTAATTCACAGGGTCCACCTTCCAAGTCCTGGTCCACATGGCCGGTGCAAGTGTGGCAGAAAGGAGTTACAGCGGTGGGCAAAGGACAAAAGCAAATGCATGCCGCCCTCCTCTTCAGTTTAAACCCTGGAGGGCTGTGGGGGTGAACCTGTAAGGGTGTGTCCACGTAAGGGATAGATGTGTGTTTGCTTGCACCAGACATGAGGGGTGTGGAGAGAAAACACAGGTCCAGCCTGCTCTTTCTCCAGTTTAGTCCCGGACCCCGCACGAGAGGGCCGCCAACTCCCCTAATAAAGCGCCTCAGGGGGAATCCTTTGGAGTGATCCACATGCCTCTCTGGGCCTCAGTTTCCCCTTCTTGGGAGGGAGCTGGACTAGATGACCTCTGTCTAGAGCCGATCTCCCTTTTCGCCCTGACCCGGAGGAAAGGTCCCGCTTCCCTCTTCCCTGCAAACTCCTTCCCCGCCTCCTTCCGGGCCAGGGCTCGTCCTGAGACCCGCCCGCCGCCCGCACTCACTGTCCCCGCAGCTCCGCCGAGGAGGGGAGGGGCTTCTTCGCAAGCCTGGCCGGTGGCTCCCAGGTCGGAGGCTCCGGTGGCTCCCAGGTCGGAGGCTCCGGCAGCGTGGTCAGCGGGGGCAGCGGGCAGCGCGGGAGCCAGCGGCTGCCCGGCGCGAAGCCCGGGCCCCGGCCCAGCCGGGCCTGGGGCGGCCTGGCCGCGGCGGCAGGGTGGGCCGGCGGCCGCGCGCTCGCCCGGCGCCGCTCTTGGGGCGAGCATGCTCCGCGGGCGGCAGCCCGGCGACGCTCGCGACCGCGGCCCGGCCCGCCCGGCCCGGCCAGCGGCTCAGGCGGCTGCAGCGCCGCCCGCGCGACCGACGCGCGCCCGTTGCTAGGCGCCTGGAGCCTGGGGCTGCCGCAGCCGAGGTCGCGGGCCGCAGTTCCGCAGAGGAAGGGGCCCAGTGTTAGGGCTCCGGGCCAGGGCGGGTGTTTGGGCAGATCAGGGGCCGCTGGCACTCCCTAGCTTTCGGGGTGACTGCTGGGGTGGGGTCGGGGAAACGTGCTGAATCCAGGCTGGGTGAACGTCAGTCGCGACGCAAGGTGAGGGGGGCTGAAGTGCTATGCAGTATGGAGCAGGCAGTGGCAGTCAGAAAAGGTTGGTGTCATTCAGTTCTCGGAGTTGTTTCACAACATCTTGTATCAAGACTTTTTCATATTCAAAGTAACCAGGCTTTCCAGAGTATTGATGAGTCTGGACCTCTCAAATCTTAGCCCAGCAACCCCGGACTAGTCCAATCTTAGGTAAGTGACAAGGTTCCACCCAGTCTGCCCCAATTTCACATTCTGACTCCTTTGTTTAGGTTCCTTTGTGAAAGGTTAAGTGTGTCTCCTCCCTAGCTCGGACGCCTAGCACCCTGACTCCCACAGTAGCATCTGTGTCCGTACTCTAAGTTAAATTATGTCCTGCACCTTCTACCTTCATTTCCTCACCCCCGCTAGAGCTGCAAGCTTATCCCTGGTAATACGGTTTCAGATCCACAAACACTCCTGAAACAGGCGTCAACACACTTTTCTCAGTTTGCATTAAGCTTGATACTAATTACTAACCCTTCCTAGCTTCTCTCATTAAAAAAAAAACCAACTCAAATTAGACCTGGAATAGAATACTGGCCCCACAACTTAGTTTTAAGATCCTGGGCAAGGGAAAGTTACCCCCTTATCTAAAAAACAGGTATAATAGTTTACTTACCTAATAGAAGGATTAAGCTGCACACCAAAAATCACATGGAGTACTTAGGAAGAAAACAGTTTGGGGTTCATTCCAAAACAATTCAATTAAGAATTCAGTTCTGGGGTTGCAATCAAAGTGGAGAACCCACCAAACTAGGATTATGTGGATTGATCCTGGCACTCAGTAAGTGATCAAATGTTTATCATCAAATGGTCTCCTTGAGTTTTGCTACTATATCCTCTTGGCTATCACATCCCTATTTGACACCCCTTCCAAACTCTAGCCTTTTCTCAAACTATTCTCTCACCAGGTATCCAAATTCTTCCTCCTTTGTGAAACTTTCCAATCTTCACTGCATGAACTGTCTCCAGTATTCCCCTAACATAGTGTTCTATTTTTATAACCCACCATTATTCCTACACAATGAAACTCAATTTTCTGAGTTCCCCAAAGTAAACTGTGTAACACACACACATAAACCCATGTTCCAAGACCTCATTCCTCCTTTTACCATTCCCATCACCAAATACCAGGACTACAATGTGTCAGTAATAGGAGACTCAAGATTTTAAACAGCTATTGTTCTGAAGAGGTTACATTCACTCAATCAAAAAAGTGCCTAAAATGCACCAGGTGTTGTTCCAAGTGCAAGAATAAGAGATGGCTAAGACTCAAACCTTACATTGGGGAGTGGCTGGGAAAAGCAACAAGAGTTCCAGATAGTACGAAATGCTATCAACAAAAACAAACAGGGGATCCAGAAGTTGAAAGAAAAGGAAGAGGGGAGGGAGAGGAGGAAGCAAGAAGGGTTATATGAAAGATGTGTCAGGGAAGACCTTTTTCCAGAATGAAAAGGCCAAGCGCAGACCGGGGGGCGGTTGAATGTTCTAGACACAAGTATAGGTGCCAAGACCCTACATTAGAAACTTGTCATTTTTGAGGAACAAATAATATAGCTGGAAAGCCAGAAATGAAGTTATCAAATAATGGTCCCCCCAGAGATTTCCATGCCCTAATTCTGGAACCTGTGAATGTTACCTTATATGGCAACAAAAGGAACTTTGTAGATGTGCTTAAATTAAGGATTTTGAGATGGAGAGATTATCCTGGAGTATTCAAGTAGCCTAATGTAATCACAGAGGTTCTCATAAAAGAGAGGGGCAGGAAGATCAGAGAAAGATGATGGAAGGAGAGATGCCATGAGCCAAGAATTGCAAGGGGCTCCTAGAAACTGGAAAAGGCAGAGATATATTTTGGGGAGCCTTCAGAAGGAACATAGACCTATTGACACCTTGATTTGGCCCAGTGAAACAGATTTTGGACTTCTGACTTCCAGAACTGTTAGGACAATAAAGTTGTATGTCACTTAAATTTGTGGTAATTTGTTACAGCAGCAATGGGAAACTCATTCATTACTGAGTGCTTACTATGTATCAGCTACTGAGGGGGAAAGGAGGGATTTAAAAAGGCCTGGCCTAAAAGTTTACTACCTAACAGAAGGCACATGTACGAGTGCACGTTTTGGCTGTTTTTGACACCCAATCTGTAAGGGAAAACAGTGGTAGCAGAAAGTTGTCCATATTTCTGTGGAGGTGGGCCCCCAGACACCCTACGAGGCTGCATCACAAGCCGTACCTCCCCGTAGCACTCATTTCACTGTACCTGTGTTGTCTCACCCAATGACACATAAAAGCAGAGGCTATTTTCTGTTCACCATCATACGCACACACTAAGCGCTCATGTTACATCACATAGTACTATTTTGAGCATTTTAAGGCAGGAACTGCTCTAAGCATTTTACTTTATCGGAAGGAACCATTTAATATTTAATCTTCATTAAAAGCCCATGAACTTAGGAATTTTTTCCCCCATTTTGCTGAGGATGAAACTGAGACAAAGATTGATTTATTGGCTGATACTAATAATTGGAAACTGGATATGAACCCAAGCAGTCTGGCCTTAAAGCCAGCACTCTTAATTAATCCAGCCCAACACAAATGCACCTTCAAAGAAAATTCTAAGTAACAACAGCTAAAGGCCACTGAGTGCAAGGCCAACTTTATAAAAATTAGGATAGTCAGGGGAAGATCTGTAAGAGAAAGCTAGAACCTTGAAGGGTACAAAAGCACATGTGAAGTAAATGGTTATAGTAGAACCTACTGGGTGCCCAGACCTTCTAGTGGAGGATCCCTTGGAAGCAATGACACAATCCTGTTATGAAAGCAGATTTATCATTCCCACTTTACTCTCTGACAGTGATGCTATAAGTTTTGTCTATTTATCCCACCTCTCTGGAACTGCCTAGGTTCCTCAAGTCCCCTGCAAGAGTTTCAGCTTTCTCTATGGCAATCCTGGATCTTTGCAAGTCCTCCCTCATTTCCCCTTTTACTGGTCCTCTAGCCTCAGGTCCCACTTAGAAAGTGATTTAACACATTGACTGCCACACTAGAGAAAAGAAAGATCCGGAATCCTGTGCTTCCTAAATTTTGTTGTGAACCTAAAAAATTATTTTAAAAAATGTTTTGCTAAATATTTTGTATAGAGTGCCACTTCTTATATTGTTTCTATCCTAAGGAGGACTTTCTACTTTGATTCACCTACCCACTCCTTGGTAGTAAGCAATATGCTATTTGCACAACTTTATTCTGTAACTAGAAAGACTCAATTCTCATGGTGAAAAGGCCACTGATAGCCCTCATTAACCTAGAAGCCAAAAAGCCTCTATCTTCTGAGTCACACCACCTTTCAGGACACTTTTAAGTGTAAAGTGTAAACTCTTTGGCCCCACCTAGAGATTAATGATTTTGGTTTTTTACATTGACCCAACAGCTCACTAAGGTAATAAATTTCTGGCAAAACATGGGTATACACATAAACACACATTTTTATAAACTAAGTTATCTTCTTATTTTCTCTCTAGAATTCACTGACCCTAAAGAAACTCACTAATCCAGAGAAATCGTTTCCAAGACCAGGAACAAGGAATTTAAAGAAATTCTTAAGTACAGGTATCTAGCTATTAATGACTATGTTCCAACAGTGCCAAAAGAATTAACAAGGGATGTTTCACAATGCATCAGAGCCTTGCACAATCAATGAGGATCATAAAAATTCTTACATTTCTGTATACATATTACAGTCTACACTTATTTTCAGTTCACTAGTCTAGGTAAGATGGTACCTAAAATAATGTTTTTTATTAAATGCCAGAACTTCCAAGTTTTGGGTCATTAATTTCACTGAGTGCTAAGATGCTACATACAAAATAACTTGCACAAACTTTGTTTCTTCCTTCTTAATATCCATAATATGTAATGGAATTGTTCATAATTCACCTAAGTATGGCAAAAGATGCAAATCAAGAACACGGTAGTTTAATAGGCAAGCCAAAGTCTGAGAAATAGAATTTCAGCAACTATATTTTTGGTAAACCAAACTTTTACTACTTTATCTACAAATCACATACAAATGCATATGAAACAAGCTTTCTTTTTTTTGAGACAGAGCCTCACTCTGTTGCCCGGGCTAGAGTGCCATGGCATCAGCCTAGCTCACAGCAACCTCAAATTCCTGGGCTCAAGCAATCCTTCTGCCTCAGCCTCCTGAATAGCTCGGCTAATTAATTTTTCTATATATTTTTAGTTGGCCAATTAATTTCTTTCTACTTTTAGTAGAGACGGGGTCTCGTTCTTGCTCAGGCTGGTTTTGAACTCCTGACCTTGAGCAATCTGCCAGCCTTGGCCTCCCAGAGTGCTAGGATTACAGGAGTGAGCCACCACGCCCGAACCAAAACGAGCTTTCTTAAACTCATTTTGACTTAGCACAATGCAAAGATGAAAAATTATCTCCTTTATAGAGAAAAACTTTAAGAACCCAAGAGATGTTTTCCTTATGATACAACTAGACCCTGATTCTGTGTATGTAATGAGCTGTTGATGTGGTGTAATTTTATCACACCAAGATCTGCCACAATAAGGCAGAGAAAGAGGCAGGCTAACAAGTCACAAATACAACAATACATTTCAATTTGAAAGCAGTCACTGTTTATTAACTGACCAGATTACAAAAATAATCATGGTAGACACCTGAAAGGAAAAAAAATAAACCCATTAAAGAAACACGCTAACAGCCCATAAGTAATATAAGTCAGTTACAAGGAAGTAACAATGACTTTACATTTTTAAGAACATCCAATTTTCATTTATAAATAGACTAGAAACGTATGTGTGTATATAGACTTTTCCAGAATGTCCTCAAAAGGAGTAATGAAAACAACTATAATCATATAGAAGAGTTGATCCCCCCCTCCCCTAGTGAAAACACTGAATAATTCAACCACCCCCATCCATATTTAACAAGCATTTAGCATTACCACTTTTACTTTGGTATTAAGACAACTTCTCTCAGGATGCAGTCTCTCACCTTAGTTCATTCTTCTGATAAGCCTATTGATCTGGTCCTCCCTGTTGCCAGCATCTCCACCTTCTACAAAATGGGTTGTCTTTTTCTTCATTCCACCCCGTGGAGATGATAACTTGAAGGGCCACAGGAAATTATTTGCTTCTTTGAAGCGTTTCCCAACAGTATAGATCTCATGAATCAGATCCTCCATGCAGATGATGCCATATTTACCTAAAAATTTTAAGGTTATTTAAGATCATTAAAGTTGCAAAAAGTTTTAAAACGATCACTATAATTTACCGGCATCCAACAATTATAGGCTGTGAGAAAAGAGTAAGTCAAGAGTAAACAAAGAGGTACATATGATTTTACTTACAAAGGCTCAAGCCAATGAAATCACCTCACATTTTCCTCGGACTTATCAAGGATTAGTGAATATACAATATACTTCATAATAGTGAAAAATGTAGCACCACAAGGTGCCAGAAAATTACCATTTTGGTCTAATATCAAACTCCCTCCCCCCCAAACAGAACCTACCAAGAGATCGAGCAATCAAATCGTTATCTGTCAACGCAATTCGTTTCTTATTGATTTTGCCATAACCACGCTTGTAGATTAGTTCATTTACTGACTTTAGGTTTGGGTACCTGAAAGATAAACAGAAATGATCAAAGAATAAGATTATTATTGTTAAAGCATCTAAGATTCACTGTGCCACACAGCCAATTTACCAAACAGAAACCAAAGGAAAAAATAGGCTTACCCCCATGCAATATATGGTTCTACAATCCTCAGCATGTTAATTGAAGCCTTGTTGAGCTTAACAAAGGTTCCATTGAAGATCTGCCGAAGGCGAAGAAGCTGCAACACCTTTCGGACCTTTGGGCTCACACCATTGATACTGTAGTGGAAAGGGGCCACAATATTCTTTTGGGTTTTACCAAACTTTTTATTTTGGACAACCCACAAGTCCTACCTAAACAGATAGGAATCCTCTCATATTACAAAGATTCAAAACCACTGGTAGACACTAAACTGAATTCAACTAATGGATAGCAGCTTTAGTCTAAGGGCTCTCAACTAAACCATTAAAATGATCACCACCCCCCACAAATATTGTTATTACAATGTTTCAGAATCAGGGCTCCCAGAAAGAATGTGACATTTTGCTGGGGTTGTGTAACTTTTGTTTTAAAAACTGAACTTACCCACGGATCCTGATGACAAATGCCAATTTGGGTTCTGCAGGTACATAAAAGTTGCCTGCTTTTCTTGCCATCCTAGCCATTCGAATCTCAGTTCTGTACATCTGCCTGTATTCCTTGTGATAATGCTTAGCTTTTTCATAGATAAGCTTCCTCCTTGCCTTTCGAAGCCCGGAAAGAATTAAAACTGAAAGACCTGTTCCGGCGAGCGCGCGCATCCTCCAGCTATTTTACCAGGAAAAAGAGGTCCTAGGATCTCTCTTTCAAAAAGCCCACCGCCCCACCATGGATTCCTCGACCTCAACGCTCTCAAGCTCCACAGGTGCTGAAAGCCAAAAGGCACAGACGGCCAGGCAACGCCTCGGGACTATTGCAACCCAGCAGGGCCGAATCCCCACTCCCCAAGACGCCTTCTGCGCCTTCCTGAAAGACCCCCCTCCCACGGAGGTACCTGGACCCTTCACCCAGCCGGCCCGGTTCCAGCACATCCCCCTTACGCGGGTCCCTCCCTGTCCACTCCGCCCTCCGCGTCTCATTCCGGGAACTCTCCAAGACCTCCGCCAGAAAGGCCGCCCTGCCCCTCTCCCAAACTAGCTTGGGGGGGCCCCCTGTGTCACGAGCGTCCAATAAACACACTAAGCAACGCGGGCCATGGTGCAAGCCACAGTCAGATGGGGAGAAAGAGAGACAAAACGTCTCTGGTTCCGACGATGGGGAAGGATTCTCAAGAAGACGAGAAACAACTTACTCTGCGCCCTCCATGGTTCCAGCCGGAAAAGAGGAAGTTGGCGCATGCGCATTGCCCACTTAAAGACTGAGCCGGA